CGACGAAGTGGCCCGTTGATTTTCTGGGATGATGCCGAGGTCGAGAGTGTCCAAAAGCATTTCCAGACTCAATTCACTGTGTTCTGTAAACAGAATCTGCGTATCTGTCGGCCGGATTTGGTTTGTATGGCGTATCCACTTGGCTGGGCCGATTTGAATCTCTTGGAGCACTTTGCCACGCCGGCGAAGCGTGAGTCCTGGGGTTCACGTAGGGTACCTGCAGCTGTTGTCACGAGCCAACATTCTCTTGCCTTTGCAGAAAGGACGTGCAGTTGCTACATGTTGCCGGTTGAACTGTTTTCCAACTCTGGTGTTGCGGTGACAAGCCTGACTTTTTGCGACTGGATAGTTTCATGCGGTGTTCGAAGCAGTGCATCCGCTGCAGACACTCCATCAAGTGAGTTGGGTTTCGGCGTACGTTCGATATGCCAGCGGGAGACTGCAAAACCTCTCCCGTTGGTCCCTCCCCTCCTGACTTCTGAAGTGCCCGCTTCAGACTCTCAACGAAGCATTTGGATTGGCCGTTCGACTATGTATTAAATGGCGGCGAGCGGACATGTGTTATGCCATACTCCCGCCAGAAGTTTGCGAACGCCGACGACGTGAACTGACTGCCGTTGTCCGATACAATAGTCTAAGGTGTCCCAACGCGACTGAACGATTGTTAGAGTCGCAGTTGTGGGACTGTTCACTGGGAAAATTTCCGATTACTTGCTGTAAGCATCGACCACGACCAAAAGTGTTTGCTATTCATTGTACCTGCATATTCGATGTGGAAGCGAGACCAGGGTTTGATCGACTGCGGCCACGAACGTAGATAGGTTTTCACGAGTGAATTGCATGCTTCAGCACATCACAGACACGATTTTGATACTTGCATTATCTGGGAGTCCTTCAAAGGTCAGTAGACGTAAATTCCATCAAGGGCCTTCATCCTGTTTGTTCCCGGGTGCCCTTTATGAAATTGGACCAGGACAGCTATTTGTAAATTCTTTGGGATGACAAAACGTTCTGAGAACAAAACGCATCCGCCAGCTAGTGAGAGTGCGACACGCCGGCTAAAGTAAGGTCTAGTTCGTCCTTTGGGCATGTACGTGACCATTGATTGTGGCGGTACTTAGTGACTTGCTGCAGCACGGGGTCTTGGTCGGTAGCCTGGCGGACCATGTCGGCAGTCACTGGGAAGATGCGAATCGCTTCTGATACTGCGTGGTTATCTTCCTCTCCCGGGGCCACTGCTACGACTAAGGCGACTTCTGGTTCTGACCTACTTGGATCAATGAGTCGCGACAATGCGCCGGCTTGTCCTAGGCTAGTGGTGGACTGGAACTTGATCTCCAAGTCATATCCCAGGGGCAGAGTGGCCCATCGCTGGAGGCGATTGGCAGTATATACCGGGATTCCTTTCTTCGAGCCTAATACAGCAAGCAGTGGCTTATGATCGGTCAATGGAGTGAACTGACTGACGCAGAGCATTTTGTGAAACTTTTTGACGGCAAACACGATCGCCAAAGCTCCCTCTCCTATCTGGCTGTAGTTGCGCTCAGTTGATGTCAGGGATCTGGCCGCATGTACGGAAAATCACGGTGCCCATTCCATAGTTCGAGGCGGCCGACGCCACAACGATTTCCAGAGATGGATCGTAGTGGATGAGTAGCAAGTCGGAACTCAGAATTGATTTGACAGGGGCAAAGGCGCGTTGGCATCCTTCTGACCATATCCACTTGTGGCCTTTGATAAGTAGCTGGTTTTATTGGGCCTTGGAGGCCATGCATATCAGGGAGAAACTAACTATAGTGGCTGACGAGACCTAGGAAGGACCTGAGGGACGTCACGTCTGGGCGCTGGTTCGATAGCTTCGATTTTCTTTGGGTCCGCTCGGTGGTAATGTTTCTCAATGATGAACCCAAGGTACTTTATTGACCGCATGGAAAAGGTGCGTTTCTCTCGGCGCACTCTTGTACACGACTAAGCACGTAATCAAGGCGCTGTCACAGTTCGTGGGGGTTGGAACCCATGGCAAGGAGGTCGCCCAAATAGGCGGCAACGCCGGGTGCATCCTACGGCATCGTATCCATGATCTGTTGAAATATGGCTGGCACTGTTTTGACACCAAATAGCAGTCGAGTATACTGTAGCAGACCGCGATGCCTACTGATCGTGAGAATTTCTCGGGGTTCTTCCTCAAATTCAACCTTGAGGTAAGCATCGGTCAAACCAATCTTCTCGAAGCATTTACCCCCATTCAGCTTCGCGAACGAATCGTCTGGAAGAGGCCGAGGGTACCCAGCGCCGAGTTGAAACCAGTAGAGAAATATGCACACAACCGGGTGGTGAGAGGTTTACACCGATTTCGATGGGGCTTGTTGATAGATTTCTTGGGCGCGCTGGAGTTGATTGCCTGTACACAGCTGCTTGAAATCACAGGTGACTGACCGATCATAGCCGTGTTGTGCTTTAGGTTGATGAGGCGTTGACACTCGGTGGTGAGGTCGTTTCGGCATCCTGTTCAATTCGGTTAAACAGCCGGGTTCTGATGTCAGCATCCCGGGACGACTGGAGACCAGTGTAGTGGTCTGGCTACCCAATAAATTAGTTTACCAGGAGTGTGTGGCAAAGAAATAAAGACAGTAACGCTAGGTTGGGTTTACAAAAATAAAGAGGTCAGATGGAACAGATTCAGTAACAATTGTTCTCTTTAAAATAGTTCGTCGTTGGCCCAGGTCAGCGAATAAACAATAATCCAATTATTTCTTCCAGAGGCCTTCTTCTGAATAGTCCCCACATATAATAGATTCCGAAGATGTCTGAAATGTTTTGGTACCAGAGTTAGTACATGAGGCTCGCGAATGACCTCTACAAGGGCGAGCTAAATCAGAAGAGAGAGTCGAAGCACGTGACCACGCTTGTATTCTGTGAAATTGTACAAGTGCGCGTTTTAGTAGTTTTTCGTATTCAAACAAAAAACTATTATGCAATTGATGAAATACGTAGTGTTATAATGGAAGTAAAATAAATATACAAAACGCCACACCAGGTACAAAAAGGGGGCACTTAAACTGATTCTCCGTCATTGAGCTGAGCTTGAAGCGCTCGCATTGTCGATTGATAACACCGGCAAACGTGGTGAAATCATCATTTTTCTTGAACATTTTTAGGCAATGGTAACGGATATTGAACAGTGATGTTTGACCGCCAACTACCCGAGACAGTGTACTGTCTGTTTCATCAAAGCTGAGGTCGCCGGGCAACTTGGGGAGATTGAAATTTGTTAATCGTTCATGCTTCGGTGTGCCAAGTTTTCGCAGCAATTGTTTAACCTTTCACCCATCATCAACTTGGACTTGAACATGTCTTCCTACCGCTTGAACCAGGAGTCACAAGTGTGACCAGACAGTGAGGCGGATGTGAACCCAGTAATTGAGGCCGCGGCTGCATCAGTTGAGGAAACAGAAGACTCACCAGTACTGACTGCTGTTGTCTGCGTATGCAGTTTCTGAGTCAGTGGTTCAATGAGCTTCAGTTGCGCTTCTTCAAACTGCTTTTGTTGCTGTTGCAATAGTTCTCGGAGCTGATCAAATTCGATTGGCATCGTGGGTTCCGGCATTTGGCCAATGGCTGATGCTATTACCACAACCTCGGAAACAATTAATCGTTAGTTCGTCACATACGAATGGGACCTGCGCGATATATACATCATTTTCGATTGTGTAGTAATAGAATATCACTATTAGCGCAACTATTCGGTTTTTCATTTTTTGTGACCTATGAGGCGTTCCTGAAAGGCTTCGTGGGATTTTAATGACGCAACCTTACTTTGGTCTATGTGCACTGAAAAAGCGTTTTTCAGTGTTTTTTTTAGTTACAGTCCGTCTTTGCCTAAGGTGTAACGTTTTTTTAAATAATCGCCGGCGGCTTACCCGGTTTCTAATTGCATGTGATGCGAGGGTTGTTGACACAAATCAGTGGTACCTAAATTGTAATCCAGCGGCTGTGTAACTAAATAGTCGCAAATGAGCTATATATTGTGCAGATCCAATTTGTATGGAACGAACCAACAAGAGATTGGTTACGAGGTTGTAGTACTAGCATCAGTCCGTGTGGAATTCCGCCTAACAGAAGGAAGCACGAGGGCTTGAATACTGCCAGGTTGCCCAAGCCTTGATGGGGAATGTTGTGACTCAGAGGTCGGGTTCGGTCCTTAGATTTTCGGGTCAGTAAGTTCGCACTCTAGCCACTTAGCCATCGGGATTGCTTAGGCGAATCGGAAATCTCCGCAGCCGAAGTGACATTGAAAACCCGATTTGTGGTCAATTCATTCGAACGCCGGAAATCAGTGTTTACCGTTCACTTCCTTCATAAGGGCGGCTTTGGATTTGTACGAGCCTGGTTTCCTCGACTACACCATCTATTGAACCTGTTTGTGGACCGTTTCCCGCAGACGGAGCGGTAGAGGACGGGAACCGTACGGTCCAAAACGTTTTGGATTACTCCTCGATCACAGACGGCACTGACGGAGCATTACAGGACGGAAGCTTTCGGACACGCAGTTTTCCGGCAGCAGCGCTTGGCTGACCTGTGAGCTCGAGTAAGACATACTTTATCAGTTTGCCCCGCTTTAGGTTCACCACGGATTCTGCGCTCCGTAGGAAGTCTGCTCCCAAAGTTGTCTGTTCTATGTCTGGGTTTATCAGAAACTCATGCTGCGCTTACCTGCCGCCCAGGCGCATTGAGTGCATTGATAATCTGTCAATTTCCAGTCAGTGTCCCATTGGCCTCACGGGCAACGCGCATTTGCATTCTACTTCGTACCCTCTCTGCCTCAGTGACACCCCGCCTCCTGTATCAGTTAGGCACAGCTCCTTTTTCCCGTCAATCTCGATAACGGCCTGTATCATAGCCTGTGTCACAGCACTTATCGCATCTCACCCGGGAGAAGAGGATTAATCCAAAGTGGCATTACTTACAGGTGGTCGGGTGTGGCGACGTTGACTCTTCCAATGATCAGGTACGCCATAGTTGTAGCACCGGTTCGGTTGAGTGTCTCCGTGATTCTGTCTTCATGGCTGCAAGCCGTTCGATCGATTAGTCCACTTTGGCCTGCAGATCCTTCACTGGTGAATCCTCCCTGTTTATGTGACTGCAGCATGACCTCGGCCACTTTCCGGTCCACTCAACTGTCTAGTTGCTCATGCCGACCGCAACTGGGCACCAGGTGCCGGCTGCACACCGACGAACTGGTCAGACAACAACTGTTGGTGCGGCACTCCGTCCAGTCCCGGCAAGTCACGATCAAACGGCTGCTGCAGATCGGCAAAGAACACAGTCGGGTCATGTCCCATCCTGGTCGCCTTGAACGGCCCCATAACATCCTGGCGGTCAATCGGTGTACCGAACTCTCCTGCAGGAGCTTTCTTCGCGGCGGTCCAGTCCGTCTTGAGCCCTCTTCGCCCGGCTTCTGAGGAGGGTCTTCAATGCCGCTGGTCGATATCCAGTCCAGCCGCCTCCGCAACATCCTTGAAGTCCTCCAGGAACCTCCGCACATCCCCATCCTCAAAAGGTTGTGCCACGAGATCATCCGTATCCTGGCATCAAATAAAAGAAGAAAAGACCTCCGCTGCTAAGTTATTCATTAGCAAACACGAACTGAATCGTTACAAGACATTGGACAAGAAATCAAATATATCATGTGTACATAGTTTTTAGGAAATGTGCATCCTCATGCGTCTTCTTGAACATTCCTGGATATTAATTGACTATCACATAACAGTAAACAAACACTGCGAAGCAGTTCCACAATTTCCGTAATACAGCTCATCTTCCATCGGATGTGGGGACGGGGCTTGGACACGATATTCGAGATACCGCAGTATATTTTCATAAAGGAAACTACTCACAAGGTTGCTGAAGACTATTCGACAGCCCACGACCGGTTTCGCCCTTCTTGGGGCTCATCAGGTAGGCGCATTCCCCGAGTTTCCGTCAACCTTATGATCTACTTGAACCCAAATTGCACTGTTTTCGAGGAATGCACTCATTTGCAAATCGATTTGGTTTCCACGGGAGACTCAATTGAATCTCTCGTTTATGACGTCGTCCAGCTGAATGTGCTGCACACAGGCGGCCTCATGATTCAGTTGGCACGATATTCGAGATATTGCAGTATATTTTCATAAAGGAAACTACTCACAAGGTTGCTGAAGGTTGCTCCTAAGGTTGACGGGGCGAGATGGCCGAAGTGGTTAGAGCGCGGATTACTAACCTGAAGGTCCGCGGTTCGAATCCGACCTCCGCCACTCGACTTCGCTGTCTAGGCTTGGGCAACCTGGCAGTATCCCAGCCCTCTTGCTTCCTTCGGGTGGCATGGCAGCTAGGCACCGGAAGGGTGCTACAGCTGAACGCTTTTTGACGGAATCTCGGGGGCTGCATCTACCTGATGAGCCCCAAGAAGGGCGAAACCGGTCGTGGGCTGTCGAAGAGTTTTCAGCAAACTTGTGAGTAGTTTCCTTTATAAATCTTGAGTCATCTACCATTGTTAGATGGCCTAACAGGAGATCAGGCCCAGGAGACCGCTGTGACAAGTGAGGCCACTGACCGTCGTCTGTGCATTCAGTGAACATCTTTACCATAGGCAGTCATCCTGACCAACCATCGATTGACGCTAAGAATCAGACTCACCAGTCTACGGTACTCTCATGTGCTGTCTGCATACTACAGACAAAACGTACATAATCGTGTTGGTCGTTTGCGTTGTAACAGATCCGTATTTATTTTCGATGATATGATAAAATAATAAGATAATCGTTCAACCCTAATACCCTTTCGGTACCTAGTGCCGTGCCGTTACTTTGCAGGTTCACCCATTTATTTACTGTCAAAGAGGGTCATACCAACGTTCGGATTTTCTCAAGGGTAAACCCCCTTTTTCGTTCTCTCCTCTTTTAGTAATACATTCGCCGATTATGTAATCACTCGTGGACAGAACAAGGACTATGTCCGTTTCGAATTTTGCCTCTCTTACTCACCCACAACGAGTCAGGTACCTGTACAAATTAATTCTCCGACTTCATCGTGCACTTCCTCCGGATATGGCTGAATTAGGGAACCGATACGTCCGAGAAGAATTCCGGAAGCATAAGAACAGTCCACCGGCGTTTATTCGTTCCTTTATGGTAGAGTGGAGCGTAAGTTGCATACATGATCCATGCCGAAGAAACGGAAAACCTCCAGTTATCCGTTTCGCTACGTATTCATTATTTACGGTCCAGCTTAGGTCACGTTTTACTGCCAACCACCGGTGGCTCATTAGAAAAGAACTCATCATGGTCATTGTCAGTTGTTTCAGTTCCACTACAAGTATGAAATTTATTCCAATTTATCGGCTTTAAAGCGTGTGCCACAGGCTCATTGGTTCCAGCTGCTACACTTTCGATCGCCGGAAAGCGGGAAAGTAGGATACAAAACCAAGCCTTGGAGGCGAAGGCATGCTCAGTTTGTTCGGAAATTAGTTAGCTACGCATTGAAGGTGATAGCTTTGATGAATGATTGCCACTGAGTGCGCTATTGGGGTACTTCCGCCAATGTCAATAACCACTGGTAATTTGAGTCCCCGGGTCCCCATCCAGGGAGGCGGCAGTTACCTATCTGACTTAGTTTACTGGTTAATGTTTTCGTATTTCGTTGCCAGGTCATACATTGTCCACCTCCCGGTCGCTTCCACTCAGCACAGGGCCGGGCGAAAAGAGCTGTGCGAGGCAGACGGTCTTCTGGCATGGAGTACATGACCCAACCAGCGCAGCCTATGAAGCATGGGTAATTTATCTATCACGGGATAGCTCATTTCTCCTAAGACCATTCGGCATACCTCACCATTACCAATTCAGTGTTCCCATCAGACCTGACCAATGCTCTGAAGACACCGGTGGTCAAACACTGACATCCTCCGTTTGTCCCCTGCGCGTAATGGCCACGTCTCTGAACCATAAAGCAGTATGGATTGCACCACCGCGGTGCAACCCTTGATAGACAAACTCACGTCACGTCGGTGCCATAGGTATCGGAGCATGGCAAAAGCTGCTCTGGCCTTTCGGATTCATGAAATAATCTCATCTCCAGCCAGTCCACCGGAACTTATATAGCTGCCCAGGTAAACAAATTTATCTGCCACGTCGATCGGCTCACCTGCAAGCATAAGGTGTGGGTTTCATTCCACCCAGTCTTGTAGCAGCACTTTACACTTCGCAGGTGTAAAGCACATGCCAAACCGTGCGGCAGAGTTATTTAGGTTATTTAAAATCGCTTGTGTTCGGGAAGGATCTTAACCAAGGAGAGCGATATCGTCCGCATACTCACTGTCTCTGAGGGAGCGTTCTGGGAGCATTTCGACTTCAGAGGTTTCAGAGACAGGCAGAGAAAATTCAAGCAGCATATCAGTAACAAAGTTGAAAAGGAAAGGGGAAAGAGGACAGCTTTGCCTTACACCATTGGATGTGTGAACTCAGGCGAGAGCTTCCCGTATACTCGCACGCGCCCACAGTTCGCTTACAGTGTCTTCATAAGGGAAAGAAATTAGGAAGGGACACTTGATCGCCAAACACTCCCAAAGTTGTTGACGATCGACAAAATCAAAAGCAGCTTTCAAATCCAGAAAAAACACCATGCAATCTATATCAGCCTGACACAGTAAACGAAACACTACAGGACGGAGAAACAAGTGAACAACTATTCAGCCCAAAAGTAACTTCAAAAGATACAACGATGTTGTGGGTAACTGTCTAGTTCTTTATTATCGTAACTAGAATGAGAATCCACCCAATCTAAATGTGTTTCCTATGTTGCAGGTTAATGTTTATTTCTTCGCTTTGTGATAGGGTGCAAATGCCGGTAGTTCGTCATCTAAAATGCGAATTTTTGTTTCGGGTCTTAACTCATTTAGTTCGGTATATTCTTACAGCGGAACCAGGACGCAGTGTACCATTCTTATCATCAGCTGTGCTCGCTGCACCTCGGTGATATGGTTTTTCCTCACAGTGAGAGATCCAACCTCCCTTGTTGGGGTAGCTTCACCCTACGCATTGTTAACCCACTTTATTACACAGTGGACTAACCCAGATAGTTGTATTCCTTGGTATTCCTTGACTTCGATTCCGTCGATCGGTCACTACTCAATAGGGTATGTCACAGAAGTTGGTGAACATAATCCGATACCTATATTCAGTCACTTCTTGGTGTGTGAGAGTGTATGGTGCACTCTCCAAAAGCTTTCCTACAAAAAGTGGTGTCCGATAAAGATAACAACTCTCTCCATTCTTACCTTCATCATTGGTGAGATAATGAGACGAGTGCTGAAAGGTCTTCAAAACCCTGGTGTTCAAATTATCGTTGGTAAGATCCTCGTCGATCTGGAGTACGCAGACTACATCGCCTTCACCTTTGAACAACAAAGCCAAACACAAGCCTGGTTGAATAGACCGACCACCGTCATACCATCTTTCTGCGTGCCCATCACGAAGAGACTGGACCTTACCGTGGTGTGGCGGTTTGTGTACCTCGGTTACCCATTGAGTTATTCTGGGGAGTGTCCGCACGATGCTCACAGAGTCTCTCATACCAAGTTGCTCAATGGGTAGAGGTCTGACGAACACAGTCTCCTGGCCCTCCAGGTTGGGGGTTGGAACATGTATGGCGACATGTTCCAGCCGGCATTTCCAGCCGAACACCGCTGCCTTGCTGTTAGGTTTTTGAGCCAAAGGCTTTGGTTGAGGACCCTAATCGTCTTTCTGTCTAGGTGTGGGCGCCCTGGCAGTATCCCAGCCCTCGTACAGCCATGACGTACACAACTAACAATATTCTCATGCCACATCGGCCGTCGCGTGGTGCCATCAGCCGGGTCGCCTTACTTGCTGCATACAGCAGGGCGGGTAAGCGAAAACATGCTACTGCTGACGCTTCCCTTCTTACACTCACGTTTTCCTTCTTTCACTCTCCCCAACCCGAATTCGAATACTTTCTCCGCAGGTCCCAGCCCTAGGACTGGCCGTTTTGCTCGCCCTGCATCACACTCAGCTGCAGCTTCTGCACGTCCGAGTTCAGTTACAACCCTAAACACTTCGAAGTCTGTTCTCAAACCCCGAAAACCTGTCGACTTAGCCACCTTCAATGTTCGCACACTGAAGCGCGTATGCTGGATTCCCTCTGTATTGATGTATGTTGTCTGTCGGAAACAGGGACGCAGGACGCAAGTACTGTGATTGAACTGACTGCCTCCTCGCTCTCCCCCAGGTTCCGGTTGCGCACCTCTGGTGATGCAGAGACCACTGCAGCTGGATATGCTGGGGTGAGTATTGTATTGAGCGAACAAGTTGAAGCGTCTCTGCTTGACTGGATACCCGTTGACAGTCGCCTCTATGCGGTTCGTTTGGCAACATCTGCGAGAGAATCTAGAGGAAGTGAGGTTCGTCGCACCCCGTTTATTTTGTCTGCATACGCTCTAACTGATTGTAGCTTTGAATTAGCCAAGGACAGTTTCTATGACGCTCTAGGTGCCCCTCTGCAGCAGGCTGAAAGCTCAGATATATTCGTGGTTGTTGGTAATATGAACGCCCAGGTAGGTAGACTGAGCGCTACTGAGACCCGATTGGGCGGTCGTCTTGGTTCGGACACGAGACACGGACAACGGAAACCGCTTACTTCAGATGTGTGCCGATCACAGGCTGTTTCTTTGCAGTACGAATTTCCGGAACAGCGGAAATCGCTTGACAACGTGGTGCGCACCATCAAATCAGCGCCGAATCCAAATAGACCACATCGCCGTCGGTTATTGGTGGCGAGGGTCAATCACCGCCTGCCGCTCCTTCTGGAACACCAGCGTGGACTCTGATGATGCACCTGTACGCTGCTGCTTTTCAGTTTTACGCAAAACGCGCACACCTCGCTTAGCCATTGAGAAGCTACTGGACCCAGAAGTCAAACGAAACTATGAGAACCAGCTCCTCGAATGCCTTCCGGACGGTACGGTGTAGGATATAAACGGCCACTGGTAAAGAATATCCAAAGCGCTACTCAAAGCAGGAGCGTCTGCTTGCGGTACAACCCAGCCAACCTCACCCAAGCATTGGATCTCTGGTAGGACGTTGTCTTTGCTGGAGACCTGGCGACAGATTCCACTTGGCCGCCACCATAACTCTACCCGGCGCATCATCCGACGCCAGGTGAAAATGAGTGTCCGCGCAGACCGAGAAGCCTGGTGGACCCGAAAGGTAGAAGAAATGGAAGATGCAAAGAATGCTGGAAACATGCGCAAATTCTTCCACTTGATTCGTTTGACTAGTCCTCGAAACTTCTTGTCAGCGAAATAATCAGGGACCAAAATGGCTCCCTGATATGCAGCAAAGCAGAACGTTTGGATCGCTGGGCACAGTACTTCGATCAGCAATTCAGCTGGCCCTCTGCCACCTCCAATCCAGAAACCTGGCCTTCAACAGAGAGGTGGACCGTAAATATGGAGCCGCTTTCAGTCTCAGAAGTGTCCGAATGCATTTCTCTACTCAAGCGTCATCGTGCTGCTGGTCCTGACGACCTTCCAACTGCTCTTTTCATGGATGGCGGTGGATTTATCAGCCAGTGCCTGTCTAGCCTATTTGGGGTTATCTGGAAGAAGGAGACCGTCCAAGACAATTAGGGTGAATCGATAGTATTGCCCATTTTCGAAAAGGGTACGGTGAATGCAGCAACCACAGAGGTGACAAGGCTTCTGGCGTCATTGATTCTCAGAGGTGACCTTCTGGCGTCATTGATTCTTCGTCGTCTCATGGCGGCACACGAAGTTTTGACTCGTGGGAATCAAGCAGGATTTCGACCGACCGGAGGCTGCGTTTGACCACATCTTCACACTTTGTCAGGTGTTAGAGCAATGCCACATGTACAGACGACCCACAATCCTGGTATTCCTTGACTTCAAGGGTGCGTTCGATTCTGTTGATCGATCAGTTCCGTTAACTACACTTGCTCAACAGGGTATGCCCCATAATTTTGTAAACATAATCCGATCCCTATATTCACATACTTCTGGGAGGGTGAGCTTCCCTACAAAAAGTGGTGTCAGGCAAGGATGTCCACTCTCCCCATTCTTGTTCAACTTCGTCATCGATGAAATGATGAAGCGAACACTGGATGGTTTTCAAAACCCCGGTGGCTGGCGAGAGCCTTGTCGATCTGGAGTACGCAGATGACATCGCCCTCATGTTTGAAGACCATAGCGAAGCACAAGCCCTGTTGAATAAACTGACCGCCATCATACCATCTTTTGGCATGCGTCTTGTACCTTCAAAGTGCAAAGTCCTGCTTCAAAATGTACTGTCTACGAACATATCCCTTACAATTCAAGGAGAACCACTGGAGATTGTGGGAAACTTTACGTACCTCGGTAGTTGTATTAGCTCTGACAGAAGTGTGTTTGATGAAGTCAGTGCAAGAATTTCAAAGGCTCGAATCACGTTTGCTAATTTGCGTCACTTGTGGAGTCGAAAAGACATCTCACTGGATCTTAAGGATCATGTGTACCAGGCTACAGTAAGGGCTGTGTTGTT